AAATACATAACATCACCGTTTAATTTCCTTTTATTTTATTTACTACTTGAAATATCTTAATCTTAGACTTTTTGGTTATTGACTTCATCTAAATCTTTAACTTGAAAGACATTTTTTTTAAGGATCAAGATTAACGGAGAGAAATGATCTGGAGCAAACTGGATCAAATTTATGGAGGGAAGAGACAGAGTGTCTCCGGTGGTTAGACTCGAAAGAACCCAACTCTGTAGTCTATGTGAATTTTGGGAGCATTACGGTTATGACATCCTATCAACTGATTGAATTTGCATGGGGGCTTGCAAATAGCAATCAGACATTTTTGTGGATCGTCAGGCCTGATTTGGTTGCCGGTGACGCCGCAATTTTACCGCCGGAATTTGTGGCAAAGACCAAAAATAGGGGCCTGTTGGCAACTTGGTGCCCACAGGAGCAAGTTCTGAGCCACCCTGCCATCGGAGGATTCTTGACGCATTGTGGGTGGAATTCGACCCTGGAAAGTATATCTGCCGGGGTTCAAATGATTTGCTGGCCATTTTTCGCCGAGCAACAGACCAATTGTCGGTTCTGTTGTGCAGGGTGGGGGATTGGTATGGAGATAAACAGTGATGTTAAGAGAGATGAAGTGGAGAGACTTGTGAGAGAATTGATGGAGGGGGAGAAAGGCAGAGAGACGAAGAAGAAAGCTCTGGAATGGAGGAGGATGGCGGAAGCAGCCACGGTGAGCCCTTCAGGGTCCTCGGCCATGAATCTTGGCAAAGTTATCAACGAGGTGCTCTTGTATCCATGAGATTAGGAGGCTGCATATCTTCAGGTTTATTAGGCATGTACCTTCTGGAATTATTTTGTCTTTTTGCTTTGAATTGTTTTTCTTTTCTTTTCTTTTTTTTTTTAAATGAGAATATATATATATATATATTTTGTTTTCTGTGTGTGTAATTTTTACTTACATTATTTGTTGTGTAGTAACGTGACGTTAAATAAGGTTATACAGATTATTGGTTAACCAAATGAATAACTGAAAAATGGATTCGAAATTAAGCAAATGGTTGGATTTAAATGGTTTTTAGTTAGACTGTTTGAAAATAAAAACTGAACATATAATTAAAAATAAATTTTAATATTTATAAATAAATAATTGTTATTTATATATTTTAAATAAATATAAAATTGAAAACTCATGTCTTTCTTCCATTTGTCTACTTTTTATACATTTTTTATGTTTATCTCTCTTATTCTCTCACCAGTGTTGATGTATTGTAATTTTTATTATACATTATATTTGATAATTTTTTTTGTTAAAACTGAAATTGGATTTATAATGATTAAAAATTTAGATAGCGAAACTAAAAAAATCATATGTATGTTTTGGTTTTGGTCGTGAAATTGAAATAAAAACCAAAAATTTGGTGTTGAATACTTGAGTTGACTATCTTAAACTTAATACCAATTTGACATAATTATGTAAATTAAGTAGGCTGTGGTTGCCTAAGCACTAAGCAGAGGCAAAAGAAGTCAAAAGTTTTGGCTGAGAGCCGAGTTAACTCCCTATTAAATAACAATTAAACATTTAGGGGA